TAAACATCTGGACTGATTAGCGGAGGACAAAAAAGACCTAGCAAGAATAACGTTTGAAATGCAAACAAACAGATAAATAAATAAATTAATTAATTCATAAACTAAAATTAAAATCTATATAGAATAAATAATATACTACTAATAAACTAAAGATAAATAAATTCTATTAAAAATTGTCAATATATCACAAATAAATTATGTATTTATTTATTGTAGATTTATTCAAATACTTTATTTATGATGTGCTTCCTCTTTTTCTCTTTTTTGATATTTTTTGAATCATTAATTAATTAATTAATTAATTAATTATCTATCTGCAATTTTACAAAAAAACTGAATAAAAAATAATTTCACACACTTTGAATCAAAGCAGACAAAAGAATTTTCGTGTTGTAAAGAAAAATAAATTAAATAAATCTTAATAAAATATTTTTTTGGTATAAATTTATATGAAATAAAGACCATAAATCTTCATTACTAAAGGCAAAAAATATTTCATAAAATTTACTAAAAACATGTTATTGCAAATAGAAAATCTATTTTTATAAATTACATACTAAAGAAAAACTATATTGGAAAGGTTGATTTAAAGTAAAAATTATAAATTCCTTTCCTATCAATGCCAATGGAGAATAAAATAAAATGTTTAAATTTAAAATAAAATTTTAAATGAATAAATAAATAATAAACACAATTAGAATGAAAATAGAAATTAATATAATTTTAATTAATTTTAAAAATATTAGTATTTTTAAAAATATTTTTATGTAATTAATTTATATTTAACTAGCCATATTTATTTAACAACCAATTTAAAAATTTATGTGCATCAGGCTTAGGTTCTGGTTTAGAAAATTACATTAATCTCTCAAATTAGACTCTTTACCTTATATAAAAACAGTTTATTTGTTTTGGATTGTGATATTTTTAATTATAAAAACTAATTAAAAACTATAAAGCTCTTTTTTCTTTTTCTTTTTATTGTGCTTGCTTTTTTTTGTTCTTTCTTTCTTTGTTAATTTATTTAGCTCATCCTTTTATTTTCAAATTTTTTACTTTTATTACTAATTAATTAATTAATCTTATTATTTTATCTTTTTTCTTCATTTTTTTCTTCTAATTAGCTATTTTATGATATATTTTTTCTTCAATATTTAAAAAGTGAGAATTAAATTGGTGATGAAGGATCATCAGGCTTAGGTTCTGGTTTAACAAATTACATTAATCTCTCAAATTTGACACTTAAACTTTAGTAAAAACAGTTTATTTGTTTTGGATTGTGATATTTTTAATTTTTAAAACTAATTAAAAACAATAAAGCTCTTTTTTCTTTTTATTGTGCTTGCTTTTTTTTATTCTTTCTTTGTTAATTTATTTAGTTGATCCTTTGATTTTCAAATTATTTACTTTTATTATTAATTAATTAATCCTATTATTTCATCTTTTTTCTTCATTTTTTCCTTCTAATTAACTATTTTATGATATATTTTTTCTTTAATATTTAAAAAGTTAGAATTAAATTGGTGACGATGGTGCATCAGGCTTAGGTTCTGGTTTAGCAAATTGCATTAATCTCTCAAATTTGACACTTGAACTTAGGTAAAAACAGTTTATTTGTTTTGGATTGTGATATTTTGAATTATAAAAACTAATTAAAAACAATAAAGCTCTTTTTTCTTTTTCTTTTTCTTTTTATTGTGCTTGCTTTTTTTTTGTTCTTTCTTTGTTAATTTATTTAGCTCATCCTTTTATTTTCAAATTTTTTACTTTTATTATTATATTAATTAATCTTATTATTTCATCTTTTTTCTTCATTTTTTCCTTCTAATTAACTATTTTATGATATATTTTTTCTTTAATATTTAAAAAGTGAGAATTAAATTGGTGCAATAGGTGCATCAGGCTTAGGTTCTGGTTTAGCAAATTGCATTAATCTCTCAAATTTGACACTTGAACTTTAGTAAAAACAGTTTATTTGTTTTGGATTGTGATATTTTGAATTATAAAAACTAATTAAAAACAATAAAGCTCTTTTTTCTTTTTCTTTTTATTGTGCTTGATTTTTTTTGTTCTTTCTTTGTTAATTTATTTAGCTCATCCTTTTATTTTCAAATTTTTTACTTTTATTATTAAATTAATTAATTAATCTTATTATTTCATCTTTTTTCTTCATTTTTTCCTTCTCATTAATTATTTTATGATGTATTTTTTCTTCAATATTTAAAAAGTGGTAATTAAATTGGTGACGAAGGTGCATCAGGCTTAGGTTCTAGTTTAACAAATTACATTAATCTCTCAAATTTGACACTTGACCTTT